ATCCGAGCTGGATAGGCAATGAAGTGAAGACCAGAGAACTCATAAATATTCATTCATCCATTCATTTATTTTTAAACCAATATTTTTGAGCATCTACTACATGAAAGGAACTGTTCTAGGGCCTGAGCTGGTGACTAAGAAAGACATAGCCCCCTGGACTTTAAAATCTAAAGTGGAGACAGATATTAGACAAAAGTTGACACAAATAATTCTTTAACTACAATTGTGGTAGTGCTATTACAAAGATAAAGCAGAAAACAGATGCTGTGGGAACAACTGAGTGAGAGAACTCATATAACAGCATGTTATCATGAGAGAGCAGAATGTAAAATTCACAGTTTAGAGGCAGAGCAATTCCTGGTAATAACAGGAGTCAGAATATGTTGGGGACGGGGAGGCCAGTTGGAGTGGAGGTCATCAGATTTCTGCCAGGGTTTTGAATGGGACATCACGTAATACTGATGGCATGTTATTTGTCAGACTCATCCATGTGGACACTGAAGTCACCCAGGGTGATGGTAGGATTAGGAGTGGGGAAAAAAGGCAACGAGCCAGATGAGGAAGGCAGGGCAGCCGGTATTGTCCCTGGCAAGGGACATGAAGTTAAATACCCGAGATCATGTAGCTTATGAGCTGTAAGGCAGACCCAGGAATCAGATAAAGTTTTTCTGGCTTCAAGTCCAGAGTTACTTCCACTTACATTACTCTCGCTGGGAGCACCATCCTGCAGAATAAAAAATGATCAAGGTAAATTTTAAGGATGGAGAAGCAGGAGTGTGACAGAACTTTAGCACCAGTGAAGGCATCCTGGACTGGCTACAAATTGAGGCTGTGGGCAGTGGGGGATGGATGGATGGTGGGATGGTGGGGCACACTGTGAATTCGCCTCAGCTGCCTTGGCCTACTTCTCAGATTTGCAGGAGCCCCCTCTGCAGTCTTGGTAAACAGTTCATTAGTCACATTTAGGTATCGTCCATGACTTCTGCACAGTAATAGACAAATGCCCAGGTGCAAAAACTAAAATGCTTCTCCATAGTGTGGGAGCATTTTGGACAGAGAACAATAAGATCACTGACACTGCGAACAGAACAGAATAATCTGATCTTAAAAGGTAGCTCAGGGTTCAGCGCCCGAAAGTGGAAATGGGGAATTTTTGTGGCCTGCTATACCATTTAATCTTTGTCCTTTTCTATTGGCTACACATTTTGTTCTCTTTGGGGCATGTATTAGTCTGCTGGGGCTTCCATAAAAAAGTACCACAGACTGGGTGGCTTAAACAACAGATATTTATTTTCTCATAGTTCTGGAGGCTGGAAGTCCAAGATCAAGGTGTCAGTAAGCTTGTTTCCTTCTGAAGGCTCTCTCCTTGGCTTGTACACTGCCGTCTTCTCCTTATGTCTTCACATGCTGTTGTCTCTGTGTGTGTCTTTGTCTTAATCTCCTTTTCTTATGAGGACCACCAGTCATATTGGATTAGTGCCCACCTTAATGGCCTCATTTTAACTTAATTACCTCTTTAAAGCTCTATCTTCAGGTAATGTCACATTCTGAGGTATTGGAGGTTGACTTCAACATATGAATTTTGAGGGACACAACTCAGCCCATAACAGGTGACAATTTAAAAAGGTTGAATATAAATAAGTTGGTAACAGTGATTGCCTCCATGGCAGGACAGGAAACCCGGGAGCTCAGAGGAAGATTTACCTTTCATTACACAATTTTTTGTATTACTTGAATTTTGTTATTACATATATTTATTACCTAATCAAAAATAAAAGAAAATTATCACACGTCTATTGCACTTTCTTGCATTCAACAAATATTTGTTGAATAAAAATTAGCAGAAAAATAATGTGGCAGTCCACTGTGCCTTTGAGATTTGGATCTACCTGAAAGTCTCTGATTAGTACAGGAATGGTGCCTGCCTAGGTTTTCCTGTGTAACTTATTTTGAATAAATCAGACTTTCCCTATAGACTGCAAACTCCACTAGGCCTGGACCCTCACCATTTTATCCCCAGGACCTAGCCCAGAGTTGGCACTCAAATATATGTTGTATGAGTGAATGCATCAATGAGTCAATAAGTGAGCAGCTTTGGGGAATGAGGCCCGTCCTGTTGTGTTCTTTCCATAGAAAGTGGCAGGGAGGGGAGTGCAGTGGAGGTAGAGTTATATATTTTGAATAATTTACTAAACTAAATCATGATAAAAGGTTTAAGGGAAACTTCTTACCCTGATTTGCCCTCTTCCTTGTCCTTTGGAAAAGAAGAGAAAGATTCTGCCTTCTTTTATGTTCTTTTTTAGTAATCTAAACTCCCATGACACTATTGCTGTTCTATATTTTGAAGAGAGAGGTAGTTATGAGGCCACGGCATGCACCCTAAAGAGGTCTCTTCCACAAATTCATCAACTCAAATTCCCTTTTCCCTCTCTCAGTTTAACTCTAATGCCCACCTCCTATCCCAACACTGCCTCTCATCTTTGTTGATTTAGGTCTGGGGTTTTCAGGAAAGATCTTAGCCTCTCTGTTTCCCTTCAGAGAGCACTAGACTGCATTTTAGCTCCCTTCTGAGAGTCGTAAGAGGAACAGAAAATGTAGCTGTTACTGTCCTCTCCTGGGCACATTGGGAGCTCCACTTGGTCCTGAAGACGTCTTAGTGCCTAAGAAGTCAACTTGAAATCAGAGAGTTCAGATCATGCTGAGCATGAGTTGTAAATTGGAAAGAATTACGAGATTGGCCGCTCTCGCTCTCACACATGCCTGAGGTTGTCCCAGGAAGTGGATTTAGCAGGCTTGGGCTCATGTAAGCTCAGGCCTGCCTTTCACTGTGGCATTTGGTACTAAGGACACTAACAATTTGTGGTGCTCTCTCTACACAACAGCTTCCTGCTGTGTGTGGAGGCCCCCTCCACACCTACCTCCATTTGGCTTCATCCAAATTGAGAGGGAACTAGATGCCTGTATCACTGAAGACGCAAGAGGTAGCATACTTTTTCTGAAAGCTACAAAATGTCTATGTTCTTAAAAGCAAACTATAGTGTGTCACATACACAGCTTTAGAATTGATGGAAGGACACAGTGGTGAAAGGTGAGTGTCATCTGCCCTTAGCTGTGAAAGACAGGGGTTGAAGACAGACTTAGGAGAACTGTGAAGACACAGTTCTCATCACAGTAGGCTTTATTTTGCTAGATTTATCCTTCAAGATATTTGCACATTTCCTCAAGAGGAATGACAGAACAGCAAAAGGAAATTCTCCATGAGTAGTTTTCAAATGACATTTATAAACAGCAAAATTAAGATCAGAAGAAGGGGAGTTTAGGACTAAAGAAAAGTTAAAAATGGATAACTGACATCCTTACAGCTAACATAATAAAGTTACAAAATGTATGATCCTACCTGACTGTACAAACTTCTTGAGGGCAGGAACCAAGATTTTATCATTTTCTATCATCTTCTCGATCTAACATGATGCTTGGCCCACAAAGTGAGTCTTCTACAAATTTTAATTCAACAGAAATTCTTTGAATTGTATCCTATGTTCAGAGCCAAGTAACCCGAGACCCCAGATGGGATCTCTGGGATAGTCTTCAGTTGGGGGAAATGCTAGATACTGCGATGGATGGCAATGGAACTTTAGGAGCTGAAACATAGAGTTTAAAGGGAATCAGTAAATATATCAGAGTTGGCTTCTACACCATGTTTATAATCAGGGGGCAGGGTGGTCAGCTCTGGAAAGCCTAAGCATTGGATGGCTGAGGGGAGTTAAGAAATTCAAATAGCAGGCAATTTAAAAAAACTCTTTAAAAGAAATGGCAAATACTAATGCTCATTTAGTATGGATCAACTCTACCTTAATTAACATCAGCACAGGTTCTATGAATATTTGCTACAAGTAAAATATATCTCTTCTGACAGAATTCTGGAAAAATGGTGCATTTCTTAATAGTTTATTATTGTACATAAAGGGACTTACTTGAGGCTTTATCTCATCGAAATCAGGCATGACTATTAAAAAAGAACACAAGTTTCTGGGAAAATGATTCTAATGGGTCACTTCTTGGAAAGAAAGCTTAATCAGTACTGAAAAAAAAGGGGACATGTTCCAGGATTATGTATGTTACTGAAAGCAAGGAATAGAATGATTAAATTAAAAGGGGAGAAGTATAAGCAAGTATTGGGTCGATTTCCAACAGAAATACTGTTCAAATGGTGTGGAGGGTCGACTGGGTTTCAGTTTTGTGGATGTGTTTCTTTCTCATACCCTTGCCTGATTTATGACATTTTTGAATGATAGTCACCTAACAAGTTTTTCTTTGATCCTCAAGACTCATGTTTGTCTCCATCTTTATTTAACTGGGTCGTCAATTACTGTAGCGTAAGAAAGATGATGTGGATTCTCTAAGGTAAAGAATTGACCAGCCAGCTTCATGCCCAGAGCAATCAAACCTGATTCTTAGAATCCACGTTCTCAAGTCTGGCTCTTTGTTTAGAGAAAGAAAAAAATGTCAGTAGAGTGGCTTGAGGGAGACAGATCCCCATCCTCACTGAAGACTGATGAGCTGTCTATTACCTAGGATCCTGTTGAGAAATTTGTGAACAATTGAAAGAGTTTATCTGATGACTGACCAATTGTGAAATTTAGCATTGAATATTTGATTCTTAAGGTGAAAGGATTAACTTGGGAATTGTGAGTTTCCATGTGTGGAAAAGGAGGATGTATTCCCTTTACTCTCTTACCACACAAAAATCAACAACCCCAACCTCATGTAACTAAGTGAGAGGGAGAGTCCTCTGCTCAACGAAGTTAACATCCTTCTATTCCTTCCTTTCCCTTCCTCACAATTTTGATATACTTCTTTGGCTGCTCCTGTGTGTGTGTGTGTGTGTGTGTGTGTGTGTGTGTGTGTGTGTGAAGAGCCTAAAGGCCTGGGCTTTTGCTAAACGTATGCCTCTAATTTTATCTGACATACCTCTCTCATAAAAACATGTCCTGTCTATTCTATCCCGGCACAAAGCAGATGCAGCACAAATGCTAGCTGACTCTGGTCTTCTTCTAAGAGCAGTGATGGGAAATCTGGGCAAAGAATGTGTTGTTTTCGCTAATACTGCTCTGTCAATTTCAGACGATAAAGTGTCAGCTAATTACCCCCTGGGTCCCAGGCTTTCACTGGGGCCTTCTAAAATACACAAAACCAAAGTGAAGGCAGGACACCATTAGCACTACATAATCCAAGCAAACAATAAATGTGTTTACTCTGCCTGACTACTGACTGCCTGCCTTCCCACCCCACAAGGCAGGTATCTATATATAGGATCTCCTTGTTCACAGGCCTGCAGAGAGGGAGCCTCTCCTTTGCGCATTGCCATCCGTGAATCTCCAAGAAACTTGGGCCCCTGATAGCATGCATCTCCTCCTACTTCAGCTGCTGGTGCTCCTCCCTCTAGGGAAGGCTGCAAGGCACAGAGGTGGCCGCCAGAGTCAGAGTTCTGTTTCTCTTGCGCTCCTACACAGGAATCGCAGAGAGCTCCTCGTGGGCAACCACGAGGAAGCAGAGGAGAAGCCAGATCTGTTTGTGGCAGTGCCACACCTGATAGGTGCCAGCACTGCAGGGGAAGGCCAGAGGCAGAGAGAGAAGATGCTGTCCAGGTTTGGCAGATTCTGGAAGAAGCCTGAGAGAGAAGTGCACCCACCCCAGGACTTGGTCAGTGAGCACTTCCCACCAGGGACCCAGGCCCTTACTCAGCCAAAGGATGGGATGCAGATGAAGAAATCTCCTCTTCGGGAAGAAGCCAAGAAATTCTGGCACCACTTCATGTTCAGAATGAGTCCAGCTTCTCAGGGGGTCATCTTGCCCATCAAAAGCCATGAAGTGCATCAGGAGACCTGTAGGACAGTGCCCTTCGGCCAGGTATCTGTTCTTGGGGGAGAGGGGATTAGAGTTTGCAGGAAGGAGGTTGACAGCTGGGACAGGTGAAGAATAGGGGAAGAGGCTGCCAGGAGCCTGAGTCTCGAGGAACTCTCAGATTTGTCCTTGGGCGTTCATCATAGGATTTGGCAAAGTATGATCATACTCCAAATTTCCTTCTAACCTTTCCATTGTTTCTCAGTATTCTGGAAATGCTGCAAGAATGGTATGATGGTACTGCCAATATTAGTAATCATTCATATTGATGACACAAAGCTTTGTTTTATGGGGTTTTATTTATTTATTTTATGTTGGGGGTGGTCTATCCAGACAGATAACTGTACCCTTAGGAAACTAGGAATTTAGAGCAATCACCAGAACTTCTCTCTAGCTACGCCTCCACACTCTATTACGACGTGGATGAGTAGGTCGACTCCATCTGTAGATAAGTTGGAATAATTGGACCCCTCCTCAAACACTTCCACACACATGTATGATGGTGTTAATCCCTGTATTTCACACCTGAACTACTTCATGGGTCTATAAATATGTAGAGGTTGTCAGGCAGAAGTTGCCATATCATTTCTAGTATTACCATAGCAAAAAAGATTTTATTTAACTTATTTTCTCCTAAGCTTTTGAAAAATAATCTTGATGTGCAATCACATTCTCTCCTTAGAAACACTTATCTCCTAATTCATGTTGTGTTGGCTGGTTTGTGGTTATCATGATTGATTCCACACTGTTAAGAAGAAGGGGCATTCTAGATCTACTTCCTCCAGTCAGTCCTGGCAACCCCCACACTCCAAATGTTAAATTAAAATTGAGAAATTGCATCAGGTCCTTAAACGTGAAGATACTGAACCAAAAGAAACATAGGGTAGAGTAAAATTTTACAGTCCAATAATGCTACCCAATTAAGCAGGCAGTGTTACAAGGTAATTGACTGTGCAGGGCAGTTAAGTATTCTGCCTGAAAAGGCAAGGTTATGTAGCAGTAAGTCAAATATCAAATAATAATGACTGCTTTGTTGGCCATGTGCAATTAGAAAATTGCTCCTAATAATCATGCAGTCAAATTTCCCTTGAAACTCTTATTGTGAATTCTATTGCTAATTAAATTAAATTTAAGGTGTTTGACTCATTTTGAAGGGCACATAAAGCTAGATGTATGGGGTTTTGGGAAAGGCAAGGGTAATGTAATGCATGATGATTTGCAGGCAGATGTGTTGCAACTTTGTTCCATGCAACTTCCTAGATTTGAATGTACTATAGGCCCTGAAAAAGAGGGTAGAATTAAACTCATGATGTTCTGATCTAGTCTCTGAGCAATTGAAAAATATGTATTGAGAATCTATTATGCACGATGCACGGCGAGGAGTAAAAAGATAGGGGATATTACTTATATAAGACGGCAGCCATTAGACTTTTTTCATCTGGTGATATCCAGTTAAATTGACAAAATTTCTTAGTTTGGCATTGAAATGTAGAGTAAAATATTTTCATATTAACTTAGGGGCTTCCTAGAGGCTACTGTATTAATTTACTCAGTAAAAGAAATTTAGTTGAAGTGGCTCTATGCCCTTATAGATACCATCCAAATATTGTAAAATATCCAAAATTGGAAAGTTTTTGAAATTTTTTTTTTTTTTGAGGATATCAGCCCTGTGCTAACATCTGCCAATCCTCCTCTTTTTTTTTGCTGAGGAAGAATGGCCCTGGGCTAACATCTGTGCCCATCTTCCTCCACTTTATACGGGACGCCACCACAGAGTGGCTTGCCAAGCAGTGTGTCGGTGCGCGCCCGGGATCGGAACCAGCGAACCCCTGGCCGCCGCAGCGGAGCGCGCGCACTTAACCGCTTGCGCCACCGGGCCAGTCCCAGTTTTTCAAATTTTAGTCTAAAATTACCCTTAGACTTACAGTCTATAGTTTTTGCACCATACGTGTTAATGGAATGACTTAAGATAGCTTAATGGAGATGTGTTTGTCTTTCAGACTGTCACCCACGAACACTGTGAGAAAGTAGTTGTACAGAACAACCTTTGCTTTGGGAAATGCGGGTCTGTTCGTTCTCCTGGAGCTGCGCAGCACCCCCACACCTTCTGCTTCCACTGCTCGCCTGCCAAGTTCACCACAATGCACTTGCAGCTGAACTGTACTGGCCTTGCCCCTGTGGTCAAGGTGGTGATGCTGGTGGAGGAGTGCCAGTGCAAGGTGAAGACAGAGCATGAGCATGGACACCTCTTACAGGCAGGCTCCCAGGCAGAATTTCATGCCCAGGATCCCTTTATCCCAGGATTTTCAACTTAAAAAGCTATCCCACTATTACCTTTGAAAAGCAAAACCACAATAGCAAAGTTGCTGATTATTCAGTCTGGAAATATTTAGTGGGTCTGTAATATTTTAAGGGAAAGGTGGTTTAAAAAGTAGTAAGATAGAACAGTTTAGAGGAAATTGTATTCATCTGGTTATTGGTACACATTTGGGATCTAGCCTTGGCTCTGCCACTAACTGGCCAGAGGATGCTAACAAGTTAACAAGTAGAAAAGCTTGCTCCACCTCGAATTTTTCTTCTGTATATGAGGGATGTGAACTAAATGCTTGCTAAAGTCCTTTGCACTACTATAATGTTCCATGATCTATTGTCTCCAAGTTTTGGTAAAAGTCTTCTATCTGAAGAAGGAAAAGAAATAAACTAGACCATAAAAATGGGCTTTTTTAATAGCTTGTCAAAGCACCAGAAAAAAAGGAGGGGGGCATATTTTTAGAAAGGATTACTTATAGTTGTAGCTGCCTTTGCATCTCAGACAGTGTTTTATTTGACTTCTATCAGATGATTAATGAGTTTCATAGATGTAAGGAGTAAGTTGTTTGGTTACCTCCTTATTTTTGATACTCCTCAAATAAAGTTCTTAATGTTTGGTCTCTGGCTTTGAGGAAGGAATGTTGGTGTTACTTTTAGTGGTTTACATAGGGACCAAGAACAATTATGGGGAAGGAAAAACACATGACCAGTACCAGGTTAGAAGGTCGATCCAGAGATGCTAACGAAAGTGACCAAGGAATTCCAGTAGATGTCAAATTAAACAAAATGCAAATGATTTAAAATTGAAACAATTTACAGCGAAATCCTTTATCCACAGGCATTTTGGATTAGGTAGCAAGTAAGGGTTCTGTGTCTGGAGGACTGTTTTTTACTACTGTATAAACACTTGGTACTACAAATTGTATTCTGCAAACGCCACAATTGCAAGTTCTGAAAATATTCTGAATGCTTTAAGGTATTAAATTGTAGTGTATGAAACATTCTGGGAAATGTCATGGCATTCAATTGTCTTATATTTGTTCTTTATTTGTTTTGTCTGTCTCATAACTGAGGGCACTATCTGGAGGTTACCGAGCTAGAAGGATTTCTGAGATGGCTTCAGAGGCTAATGACAATGGCCCAAGTGTTTCTTCTGACAGTTCAGACAGCTTTCTGTCAAGAACCTTCAATCACTGTCTTTCAGTGATTACGTTTCTCCTGTCTGTATTTATTTGTATGCATATATTGTGCAAAGTGGCTTTTGCTAGCCATATTTCTTTTTCTATAATCATTCTTTAAAAATTCATCTTTAAAAATTATTTTAACTATTTGGATCCCTTTTCTTTGAGTATAGACAAAGAAAGCATTTCCCAGAATAATGATTACTTTTTCAAAAAGACATCAATATATTTTGTTCTATTCCTCTTTAATCACACCTTCTAAACTGGTGTTCCAAAGAAGTGAATGCACTTATATTTAGTGTATATTCTACAACACATCAATGTGATAGAATAAGTGCTACACATATACACACGTGGCATTTACATCAGAATATATTATACCCTTTGGTTGTCAAAGACAACCTAATTGGCCAAAATATGGTCATAAGGATAAAACTGTTAGGTATTAATGATATCCCAGCTGGTCAATATATTTTGGTGCCAAAAGCTATTGAGCAGCTGTCTAGTTTGCAATTGCCTATCCCTGATTATATAAACCTATCTCTGCCAATTGGACTATCCTTATCCTCCTTACACACTTGCAAATCCTTTTTATCTATCCTGCAAATAGACTCACAAGCCCAAGCCCCAAACAAACATCAGTTTTATTCAAACTCAGGTCTGCCCTTCCCTCATATGTGAATTCAAGATGAGACAGCTGATAGTGGTATCAGCTTACATTCATAGTGTAATAGCATGAACCTCACGAAATTGCCCATATTCACCCATTTTTACTTGCAAAAAAAGAAATGTCCAATGGTTCAATATAATACATGGGAGCATAAGAAACTGAGAGGAAACACACAAATATCCCATATCTATTGAGTGCCAGATACTGTGCTGGTCTTTTACGTAAATTATACAATTTATGTAACACATAAATACATAAGCTACACAATCGCCTCAAAAATCATATGAGGTGGGTAAATACCCTATTTTATAGACGAGGAAAATAAACCTTAAAAGATTTAAACAATTTGCCGAATGTCATTTGGAGCGTATTTTCTACCTGTATTAGAATGTCTGCTCATTCATTGTCCATCCATTTTAGATGTAACTCTTCTAGGGCTCTCGCCTATAGGCTTCAAAGCTAGTTTCTTTTTACCTCTTGTCAAGCTCTCAGATCGATGTTATGTCTTGAAAGAGAAATCATCCCCAGGTCAGGTTCTCAGCCAAGCATTGCCCTGACTGGAGAGGTGGTCACAGCAGCCCCCTCATCAGCCTTGGTCTCATTTTCCTCCTGTATAAAATAAGACTAATAATAATTACGTCAAGATTATTGTGATGATCAAGTGTAGGATAATAGCACATCAGAGAGCTTTAGATCCTGTAAAACTACGAGGGGTTAATTCACTCTTCTCCATTCAGAATTTCCTTTTTTTTCTTTAATTTATTTTGAGAAATTTAAAAGACAGAAAAGTGAAAAGAATAATAAAACAAACACTCAAATTCTTACCATTAAAACATTTAACATTTTGTCATTTTGTGCTTCTTGTCTATTTTTTTAAAAGAAATAAACCATTTCACTATAAGTCTACTGTAACCACCACTCTAAGTCCCATGCCCCAAGCCCCTAACCCCTCAATACCCACCCTACCCCCGAAGATGCTTGTTTATACTTCCAGTACCCTTTTATATTTTTGCAAAGGTATATACACATCCATAAATAATATATAGTGTTATTTTTGTATACATGTTCCTTTATTCAGCAGGTATATATTTGTCCACCAGCTATGTGCAAGATACAGCTCCAGGTGCTGTGAATATGACAAGCAGACAAGTCAGACAAGATCCTGGATCCTGGAGAGCTTACATTCTAGTTGGTGGAGACAAGCAATTTGAAAATCAATCAATTCATCAATCAATCAACTGAAAAGGAGAAGTATCAGATGAATATAAGTCGTATGCAAAGAATTAATAGAGAAGAGTGCTAGAGACTAGTTACCCTAGATTGAGTAGTTTCCGAAAGAGTGACATTAAAGCTGTGAGTTTTTAATTACATGCATGATATGCGATATGAATTGTTTTACAGTTATTTTTTTCTCCACACAGGATTCTGGCTTGTTTTTACAACAGTTTTTAGAGGACTTTTTTCTGTATATTTTATCTTTCTTCTAGAAATTTGTCATTAAGTATTCCTACAGAGAATGATTAACTTAGCTTTGATAACTTATTTTTTCAGTGTACATAGTCTCTTTAACCTGTCAATTTAATTCCTAATTAAGAATGCCATGTATTCTCTGAATTTTTACAGAGAATTTATTCTATGCAAGACACTGTGCTGAGAACTCTGGGATAATGAAAGATAAATAAAACACATTTCCCACCACCCTGGAGCTTATAATATAGTAGAAGAGTTAATATATGCACATTATAAAGCAATAATAATAGTAACAATAATAAGAGCTACCAATTATTGAGCCCTTACTATGTGTTCAAATGCTTTATAGTCCTCATGTCCTTGAAGCAGACATTTTATACCCATTTTTTGTGGCAATGAGAGTGAATGAATGAACTCAGAGGGGTTCATTCATTCAGTCCACAAATATTTATGATTGTCTGTGTTGAGCCTGGTCACTGTGCTGGGTACAAAGAATATAAATCAATGAATACATGATTATCTAAATATAATTCCTGATGTTAAGAAGCTTACAGTCCAGGAACAAGTAACTAAATGCATTTGCTTCTGTAAAACTAGAACAATGATCCCAACTCCAAATTCAAACACCACTTTCCCTTCCTCAACCCCCAGACAGACAAGGTCAGGTTCACCTCTTACATGGTTTCATGGCTCTGTATGCCTTCACTTCAGCACTCATCTCAGCTTACAATTACACCTTTATTTGTGTCATCGTTAGTCAAATCTTAAGCTCCATGAGAGCAGGGATCACATTGGGTTTCTTTCCCTGTTGTCATCAATGCCTAGGAAAGTGCCCAGCATGCAGTAGGTACTCAAGAACCACTTTTTGTCTGCATAAAGGAAATGATATCAATAGATATCATGTGCCAAGCACTTCATGTACATCATCTCGTTTAACCCTCATGAAACCCAATGAGGTAGGGAGTACTGTGTTATTTTATAGGTAAGGATGCTGAGGCTTACGTAAATTAAATAATCTTCCCAAAGTATCACTGCTAAGGAGCAGCAGAGGCTGAATGATTCCAAAGTCCCAGATCTTTCATACAATGCCACATTGCATCAAGACAGCAAAGACAGAAATATATAAAAATAAACATATATATTTATAGACACACATATATACCTATAGATATGCATATATATACATATACACATGCATATATATACATATACAATCAGAGTTAAACACTTGAGTCATTCACTAGTCTCCTCCTTCTCTGAATCCCAGAGACCATTATTCATGCCTGTCTTAAGGCACTTGTATCAGTGAGGATGCTTTCAACTCAAGTACCAGAAAACACAACTCAGAATATATTAAATTATAAAGGGATATATTATTTCACTATCAAGTAGTCTGGAAGGCAACTAGTTTCCTTGTTGGTCAAGTCATTTCTACCCTTCCATCAAGGACTTGGGTTCCTTCCATCTTTCTGATCGGTCACTTTCAGTGGGTCCTCTGCGAGCTAAAACTCACCCTCAGTCACAATATGGCTGCTGCAGTTCCAAACATCATGAGTCACGGTTCACACACTGATGTCTGTAGTAGCACAAAAGTATTCTCTCACACTTGTGTACCTTTTAAAGAGCTGACTAAAATCAGTTCCATTGAGGATAATTAAACAATGGAAAAAAATCTTTGCTCTGACAGCAAGAAGTAAAGAGAAAATGGCTGTTGAGTAGGCAAGCAACAGTCTCTGCCACAGTTGTTGTTACTTCTTAATTTATGTTATCATTATTTGTTTACCTATCTTATCTTTCTTTCTAGATTGTAAAGTCCTTAACACCAAGTCCTTTATATTATACATCTTTGTTACTCCTCTGTTTCTAATATAATATTTTATGCTTTATATATTATTTTAATATATTATTAAATACACAAATATATTATTTTATATATTATAATATTTATATTTTAATATGTATATATTCGCATACATATAAACATACACATATACATAAAATGTATAATTTTAATGTTTTATAAGAGATAACTGCTCAATGCATGTAAGCTAAATGAATGAAATTTGGGAGCTGCTCTTGGAAGGATAGGTAGTATTTATAGTGTGGGGAGTTGT